GAGTCATATATTTGTTTTGGGTCTAAAGGCGTGCGATCGATTCAAATTGACTACCTGCATGCGTTATCATTTGGTACGTGAGCGCATCGGGCTCTTCAACAATAATGCAATATCAATAATAGTAATAATAAGAAGAAGAATTTCACAGTTACTGGTGAATATGCAAAATAGCGCAATGGATAAATAGTGAGAAAGGAGTCGAAAAATACCATACGAAGGGCAATCATACCGAATAAAAGGAAAATAGGCAACATAACACAACTTGTTGGCCAAAGCCAAAGAGAAAGATATTTCGAGGAGAAAGACAGAAAAAAGAAGAGCTATTCCAGCAATTTTAAAGTGTAGTAGCTTGTAACGGCTTGAAAAATCATTCAAGTCGAAATTTATTGAACGACGAGACAAGAGAACGAATGAAACAAAAAATCGTTGAAAAACTTTACATAGAGCAGCGTGAAGTTTTAACGACGATTCCGACTTGAAACAACACATACACATATTCGACGAAAAGCACACACAACAGGAAAGTTTGTAATAAAATATGATGCTGGAGGCATGAGTTTTTCTTTTCGCTCTCCGGAATATAAAAATCATGCGCAAAATACATAATAAAAAAAAACGAGACGAAGAATCACACACAATCCGATCGATTACAAACGATTTAAGCCTAAGCCTCTCTCTCTCTCTCGTCGACATCACAATTCACAATGTGGAAGAGCGCGCGCGACAACCGTTCGGCAATGAGAGAACGAAGACAGAACAATAACAACACAAAATGCTATTGGAAATAGAATACAATGCAAGCGAATAGATCGCTTAAAATCAATTGGTTTGCACAGCGCCGCACGTATAATTGCGTGCATATTATTTGTCCGCATTTAGTGATGTGATGTTGCTGCTGCTGCTGCTGGTGCGTCGAAAAAATATCAGCAGCATGCTTTTCAATGCTTTGCAGTTTTTTTTCTTGTTCCATAGTGTATGACCATTTTCTTGGAGTGTTTTTTTTTCTCGATTGCGTTTATTTGGTTTTCCCTTGGCTCTTGGCATACGGGTGTTTCTAGTTCTTTTTTCGCTGCTCGTTTTTCTGTTCTCGATCAAATCCCGAATAAAGATCAAATTCCAATCCATATTCGCGAGATGGACGACGATAAAGAAGCGATTCATATGTAATCGCGCGCAACTTGATGCACCTAGTCTCTGTTGCTTTGTCTCTATCTGATGTTCGCCACCGAACGAATCGCTTGAGAATCGATAAGCAGGCGACAGTAGACGAATAAACAGTAGCTGTTGTAGAATTATCAAACCACGATCAATGGAAAATGAAGAAGCGCAAAACTAAATGCAACACGGTTGCAAAACCAATGGTGTACAATGTACACGAAAGAAAAAAAAGAGGAAAGAACGCCGATTTCAAACGATTCGGCCTCAAACTAAATCGCAATCCGATCGATCGGCCACAAATGTGTACACAAGGTACATTTAACGCACCTTCCCCACACAATCGCATTTAATATTGCCAACTTAAAGTCCATTTGAATTCAATTGTTTTCACGTATTTACGATTGAAACCGACCGTTTTGCAGTGTCGTTTTGGTGTTTTTTTTTCTCTCTTCTGTTTCCTTTGCTCTCTCTGAACGACTAATCATATGCATGTGTGCATTTTATTATACCATACCGAAGAATGTATGGCCGTAGAATTTTTGTAGTCGAATCGCGAACGCCAAAACGCAAAAAATAATAACTCTCTCTCATTGAAATATAAACACACAGCAAAGAAGAAGAAGAAGAAGCAAAAAAAACAGAGTACCACCACATTCGCTATGTGTTTGTTCATACGTCGCTTTTTATGAATCTGCATACGATTATGGGTATTAAATATTCATTATGGAATACAAAAGACAAACATTTTGCCAAGCGCCGATCATTTCAATTTTTATTGCCTAGAATCCACTTAAGCTTATCTTTTGCTGCTAGTTGGTTATGCAAACGCGCCTGCCTGCCTGCCTCTCGGTCGACTGTTGCCTGGAACAGAAGCTTTTTACTGTACTTAAATTCAGGCGATGGATTAACAGCACCCATACATTCGGCTTTGTTCGGGTGTTCATAACACTAATGACTTGCGAGGAAGTGTCCGTGTGAAATCGATTTCTTCGATGGCAAACAACACACAAGCACACTTGGCCGACCTGTGAACAACAGGTTGAATGTCCTTAGGGTAAAACTTTGATGCTCCCTGTGATCGTAAAGTGAATGCAATTTTAAACATCGTTTTTATTTTGGCCGCAAGATATTAATACGCCCACTGATTTACACAGCACACTGGTGCGTCGACACCAGCCCATTCAATGCGCCCTGCGTCTATTTGTGTCCATTTTACGGAGCTATTATATTGTGAAACGATTTCGATGCCATAAACCTTTGTGTAGGTGCTTCTTCTGCTTTTTAATCTATATTTACATTTACGCGATATGCTCCCTTTCAACCCACTAACCGATCAATTTTCGTGTATAAAATTAGCTTTTGTTATCCAATTTGTTTTAGCGATATGTGTTAATTGTCAATAATTACATTTTCCATTGACTCTTCTTAGTCGGATCACGAATAAAATGTTTTTCCATTCGATTGCTGTTGCTGTTGCTCTATCGATGATATGATGAAATTGAATTGCTGCAAGTCCTGCTTTCATTTGCCCATATTAGCAAAATTATTATTGTTGCTCAGCACACTACAGGCGCTCTTAAGCGTCAGGTCAATAAGAGACAAAGAGAGCGAGATGGAGAGAAGGAGTGAGACAGAGCGAGCGAGATGGAGAGAACGATCGAAACGCAGTGATCGAGGGAGAGTAGGAGAAAAGATGAGTGCTTTAGCATACAATGCCATTTTGTCGTGTCTATGCTAATTTCAAAATGAACATACATTTATTGCTTTTATATCATGCCAATAAATAGATGCTAATGGGCTCTTTTGTCGGTACAGACAACTCACCGGCTTTTCATAATTTGTTAATATATTTGATCGTAATATTCGCCGATATTAATAGGAAATATTCCGTATTATTGAATGTTTTTTTTTTCTGCATTTGTTTGTGTCTATTGAGATTTCTGGATGGTTTCCTAATAGAATTTCAAATCTTGATTTAAAAAAAAAAACGAAACAATTGACAGGCCATAAGAAAATCGTGTGTACGGAATGCGGATATAATGACACACTCAATGGCGTCTATTCTCTAGATTAGAGTCAAAGGTAAATGAAAATAAAAAAGAAAATAGAAGAAGATTTTCAAATCTGAAAAATAGATAAAATTTCCGAGAAGAGTTGGTAATAGAAATGTTATTATTAAATGCAGAATTTATTTACTCTTTTTTTATGAAAACTGAAAAAAAAATAACCAAGAGATATGAATTGAATCTGTTGCGTTTGAATCTGAATTGTGATCATTTGACACATGCAAATAAAATTGTTTGATCAAAGCGCACAATGGTTGGTTACTGCAAATAAAAATGATTTTCACAACTAAAACTATTTCCATTAAATTTTCTGCACAAACAAGTGAAATCTTTCCCATCGAATAGTTTCAAATAAATCGACTGATTTATGTGTAAATGAAGCCGTACGTTGATTGCATTGTGAAATCCAAGAGATGAAAAAATGCTTTCAGCATTGAACTGAGGCCGAGTATGTTTAACGCGAACGATTTGCGCATATATTTCACCGATTCAAGTAATCGAGCGGTTTCGGTGTGAATTTAGCAGTAAAATGAGCAATCATTCAATACAATGAGAGCGCGAGCGCCTATTTGCACAGCAATCCAAACACTGGTCTAATTTCAGTTGTTGGTTGGTGCGGGTGCGTGTGCGCACGCACTTACGAGCGCATACCGTTTACACCGACTATTGTGACAACAAAACAAACGTGTTTTACTCGTTATTGTTGCTGTTCAATTGGTTTTGAGCGATTGAGAGTCTCAATTTGAGACAAACCGTACCGAAGAAAATGAGAGACAAAAAAAAACAGCAACACGACGTGAAGACTTTTAGTCCAACTATTCCAAGTTATGTGTCACACAGCGTCTACAATGAATGGCTAAAAAAAACACATCACAGTAAATGGGGTACATTAAAAATGCGTGTAATTAACATGACAAAAAAGAGGCGAACTTACTGAGAAGAAAGAAGAAGAAAAAAAACACCGTATGACTGAATTACTAAATTTAAATCGATCAAACAAAAAAAAACAGCAGCAGCACCACTTGAATTTGTATTTGAAATACTTTAGGCTATTGTTACAGTTTTAGTGACGCACACAAATCATCAGGTGCGCCTTTTTTTCTCTCTATTCCACGTGTGTATTGTATGGAAGGCGCAATGTGAATAACTTAAGTAAAGGTTGTAGACTTTTATCGAGCGAAAGATGGAAAGAAAGAAAAACATAGCGAACCAACCAAGTTTAATACGAATATAATAAAAATAGCGATGATATTTAAATAAGAACGAAGCACAAGTGGAATGCTGTTTGAATCATTCGCAAAATTGTTTATAAGGTAGATAGATGGAAGTTGAATACAATTAATAAAGGTATGAGAGAATGAGTAGAATAAAATACAATTGAATAGTTTTGGCCTGGAATTGGCAATATATTCGGTAGAACATAATGATAAGAGAATAAATTGAAAACAGACTCACTTGTTTTCAATGTGACAAACGATAAGTATAATAAGTAAACGGCTTTTTGTTTCAATGTGAAAAAAAAACACAACAGCAGAACACTCACACAAAGTCGACTCATGCAAGATTCGTCTGAGTCGAATGTTATTTTGTTATTGTTGCTACTGCCGCTACTGATGCTGTTTCAATTTTTTTTTCCTTCGTTGTCATGAAAATTCGCTTGAAATCCGCGCAAATACGTTGATAAAACATACACACAACGTCTTTGAAATTACTTTCCGCTTGACAAACTCATATTAAATATTTTGCGACAATGATTCAACATATCATGCAATTTGGTTGGTCTTACGCAGCCGTATATTTGGGCAGTGTTCTGGATCCGATGTGTTTCGGGATGACACACATATTTTTTTTTTTTTCTCTCTATCCACTAATATTGACTGACGAGCGCGTGCGTGCGCGCTCGCGTCTATAATGAATTCGACAGAAAAATTCGGTTTCGTAATTATTATTTTTTTTTTTTTTCAAAGTGAATAATGAAAAAGATGTACGAGACAATTGAATGAGAACACACGAAAAAAAAAAATCGCTCGGGAAGAATTAAACAAAAACCGCCGTTCCAATAAGAAAATCGGCACAAGCCGAAATTCTGTCAGTATGTGCTGCAATATTGGCTGAGACGCACAGCGATTTTCGAATTATTCGATTTCAAGTGCTCACAAAGTGTATGTGTGTTTTTTTTTTCGTGGATGTCAATAATAGTTTTGGATAGTGATAAAAAAAAATTTACGGTGTTGTAAACTATAAATTCGAATACATTTAAATTTATTTGTGCGTTTTTTTCTCACAATTTTTCTTATTCTAAGTGCAATGGCCGGTTCAGTGAGACAAAGTACGTGTTTGATTTATGGATTATTTATTTTGTTTGTTTTTGATTACCGAATTTATTAATCTTGTTTTGTTATGTAAACACATTTTATTATCCAGTTTTCATTCTACTGACGATTACATTCTGCGTTATGGGCCAGAATTATCAGTATATTCCAAGTGGTACATATATCCCAAATAATAATATTTTTAATGGATGTGACTTTTACGAATCGATTGAGCTGGGACGAGTCTATGACGTTTTCTCGCCATATTTCCCCGAAAAATATCCACCCGGAACGAATTGCCGATGGTCGGGATGCGCACCATATGGTACAAATATCGTGATTAAATGTACCGAAATGAAAATACCAACGGTAATTATTCACCATTTCTTTTGCGATGAGAAAAAAACGATCTGGTAAAATTGTTTGTTTTTAAAATTGTAAGTTTGTTTAAATAAATTCATCAAGTAGATATGAAGAGTAGAGATAATGAGAAATTATTTGACGAATGAAAAACAAATTCTTGACAAATTCTTAAAGTAAAGTTTTGGAATTATTTCAATCATTATCATTTCAAAGATTTATATTTTTGGAAATTAATTTCGAAAAAAAAAAAAAATGATTTCTTCATAGTATGGAACGTGTGACGAGCGCACTGATAGACTTGAGGTTTCTTATCAAGGTTGTCAAGAATTGAACGATGCCATGCGATATTGCACGCAACCTTTTGTCATGGAAACAAGATCAAATGCTCTGGTTATGGGTATGTGAGAGTTGAATTGAATTCTTTTTGCATAAATTTCTTCTTTGACTTAAAGAGATTTTTCCTTCAAAAGTTTAAGATTTTTTCATGCAAAGAAGATTCCAATATATAATAATGAATTCGAAAAACACTTTTGTTCATATTCAGTGCCATTAAAACAATCCGTTTTTCAATTTGCTTCGATAATTTCCAAAATACTATTTATTTTATCAAATATAAAGCACTTCGAACTTTTCCAAATTCGACTGGTGGGAGCTTCTTCTGCCAAATCTATGCACAAAAGAGCGCATTACCCGCTGCTCAACCAATGTCACCAAATCAATATATCCAAGGGCCATCATTTCCCATTCGCGGTAACTATGTGCCAGCTGTATCACAGCAACAAAACTATCCACCAACGTACCAGACCAGTTATGATCAACAAAATGTGCGATATGAACAAGGTTTTCAGCCATCGTACTACAGAGGAAGATTTCAAGAGCAAGGGCGACCTGCTTACCAACCCTCCTATCAACCGGCCTATCAAAATCAAATTTACCGACCAGTCTATCGGCCTGCTTATCAGGTTCAACCAAATTATCAGTCTCAACCAAACTATCAACCCGCGTACAATGGCTATCAAAGTGGGTATCAGAGTGGTTATCAGACCGCATATCAAACAGGTTACCAGCAAAACATCTATCCAGTTGGGCAACAAAAGCAAGTTTACCCTACATACACGCCCACTCAACAGGTGTATCAGCCGATGGGGCCCCAAGACCAAGGTCAATGCCCATGTGGTCTACGAAAAAGGGTATGTATTTTTCTTTTTTATATTATTTTCTGCTTTTTTTTTCATTATTTTAACCGCTTTTATGTTCATTCTTTTCAATTTACATAATATGGTCGATGTACAAATAGCCTCGCATTTTGAACGGTGAAAGTATTGATATTGAACAAATGCCGTTCGCTTGTGGATTGATCGATTTGAATACAAAAACCGTTTTTTGCGATTGTACAATCATCAGTCCAAATTTTATTGTAACGGTTGCACATTGTCTACATAATCGCACAATAAACACAGTTGGAGTCATTGTTGGCACAACAGATACCTCCCGACCAACTGAATCACGGTATGCGGCAACGTATCGTCTATTTGGTTCAGTTGTGCATCCAGATTATGACACTCTGTCGATGCTCAATGATATTGCCATTGCCAAAACGGGTCCCATTCAATTTAATCCAGCTGTGGCGCCAGTATGCTTGCCAATCAGGTGAGAGCGCGATCAAAAACGATTTTTCACTTGCAATTTCAGTTGGAATAGCTTCATTTCGATTTTATTAAAATCACTTTCAATCTTTATCCAAAATTTCCTCAATATAGCGAGAGATTATCCGAACAGAATTACGCTTTTTCGCCGGTTGAAGTGGCCGGTTGGGGTGAAGTAAGGAACACTGGTCCATCATCGTCACGTTTGCAAGCAGTCACATTGAATGTTATAACAAATGAACAGTGCAACGATAACTATCCATATCGAATAACTGCCTCACAAATGTGCCTTCTCACACCACAAAAAGATACCTGCAATGTGAGTTATCGCATTTCTTCTTTATTTGTATTGGACTTTCAATTTTCTTGTTCTTAAAAATCAAAATCTGATTTTAGTTCAAAAATCTCTGCAAAATACATTTATGTCAATTTCATTTAGTTCCAATGGAATTAAGCAAGGGTTGTAGAGCATTTTTAGATTAAGTCATTTTTAACAGAAAATTTCCAATTTTGGATTGGGTTCACTTGGTTTTTCAAAACAAAAATTCAATAACATTTCATGTGTCATCAGGGTGATGATGGAGCTGGATTGTGTCATGTTGATACGGTTACGGGTCGTTTGGTGCTTGTCGGAATGCCAAGCTATGGAGTGGGCTGTGGTACGCGTCAACCGCGAGTTGCCGTCCGAATTTCATCGTACATCCCATGGATACTGCGAACAACGAATGAACCATTCTGCGTAATTTAATTGTATTTACTTAGTGCTTAAGAAAAACCACCGCTTTTTTTTCATTTTTAAACTGGAGGTTGAATCAACTTTGCCCAACGAAGGTTAGCAAAACCGAAGGAAGTTTTCAATTGATTTAACATAACAGATATAACTGCCAACATATTAAAAAGTGGCCGATCGAAACAAAATTATTCTACGAAAAAAAAATTAGGTTTTTTCATGTTTATTTTGATTTTTAGAATTATAATAATTTTTGATTAGAAACTCAAAAACAATAAAATTACATGTTGTTTATTTTTTTTTTGTCAATGATAACAAAACTTCAAGGATTTTCATTTTAATTTTATGCTTCTTCATCACCAATGAATTGAAGTTAACGTTTTTCATCTTGAAATGTTTTAGTTTGCATTCAAATGGAATGAAAAACAAAAACAAAACAAAAACACACACAAACAAGTTGATATCTGCGAATGAGAGTCCAATGGACAATATGATTATTACGTCTACGAAACATCCGGTAAAATGGGCTCGTGATTTTATTTTCCATCAATTATTCTAAACTCATTCATTTAATATTTCATTCATGTGAATGAAATTTTTGGGCTACGTCTCTTCATCATTATCACTCACGTGATTGTTGCCATCCAAGTCAAATCGATGGTTGTGTGTTCGACGGTAGTTGGTTGGTTGCATTGGGTGTATTTGTTCGGTTCATTCACAAAATGATCAAGAAGAAGAGAGAGGAACAAAATGAATGGTGTTATTGACTTTCGATTTAAAGCAAATCAAGTCGACGAGAAATCGGCCGAATCGATTGTTATTGTCATTACACAAATGTGACAAATCGACAGACACTAAAAAAAAGAAGGTGACAATTGTTCATTGACAACAGAAAGAGAAAAAAGGGATCTAGATCTAAGGACAACCTTTTAGACTTTGTAGAAGTGTAAAATACGAAATAAGCGGGGAGAGAGAGAGAGAAAGAAAGCAGAGAAGAGTGAAAAAACCGAACAGTCAACAACAACGAAAGCGGACGTACGCGTTTACGTGTATAACATGACGTGAATATATCACACATACACCAACCAATCAATCAGTGCCGCTTCTTTGGTGCGCGCTGAGAGAATATCCAAACGGAATCCAATAAAATTTTCCTCATCATTTTTCGGATTGCATGGCCGAAGGTTGAGACCCTGGGCGCAACCAAGCACATGTCATACGTTTGAATTACACATCAACAGAGGAAAGCAGACGACGAAAAAGAAAAAAAATCAACGGGGAAGACAAGACAAATTATTACTGACAAACAAGCTAAAAACGAAAAAAGATGTGCAAAGGAAACGAAAAGAAAGGAAAAGAAACAACGGCAAGCAGAGAGCGAGAGAGAGAGAGCGAGAGAGAGAGAGCGAGAGAGAGAGAGCTAGAGAGAGAGAGAGCGAGAGAGAGAGAAGAATGGAGAAAAAGTGTTCGAATCGATCCATTTCAATCTTAAACAATGAGCCCAACGAATAAATGAATCACCGGTGACAAAAATGTGATTTGAATCGAAATTAATTTGTTAATCACACTTAATCGCATTCTCATTTTATTACTTGTTCCCGTCGAAAGAGAGTAGACAAAAAAAGACACCGAATGCCTGTGGCATTTGTGAGTGCAGTCGCGGACTTCGGATATTCGCATGAAATCGAAACGAAATGGCGCGAATGCATTCCAAAGCAGATACAGAGCAAATGCATTTTGGCCGTTTTCAACTTGGGAAAATATGTGAATGAAATGTGATCCGTTTTGTGGCAGGTCAAATATTTCTTTTAGTGTATCTTTTACACCGCATGCGATAGATAATCCATCATTTCGATCACAAAAGCTAATTGTGTCTCTGATTTTGACACGGCACATGAAAGAACATTCAAATACAACCGAAGATTAGTCATTCAATTTGGATGTTTGCGCTCATAATCAACGAGGCTGGCAACGAACGGAAAATATGAATCACTTGGTACTTTCATTGTGCACACATGCATCAATCTATATTTGATTTGACACCCAAAATTCTCGGCAATTTCATAATTGATGATCGTTTTGCCCGTTTTATTAGGCTCTTTACAGATAGTTTTATTTTTAATCGGGAACTAAATGTTCGGTTAAATTATGATCTTTTTATGGAATAAAATAGATTTTTGTTCGGAAAGATTTTGATGAATGGTTGAAAAAAAAGTCAGTAGCAATGTAAAGTAAGTATGATTGCATTGCCTTGAAGTATATTGAAGTCATATTCAATATTCCGATATCATGGTGCCAAACCGAAAGTCTTATGACTTGCTAAAAGGAATCATTTGGTTCGTTTGTGCTAAAAAAAAAGTCAATGGTTTGAACTACCGTGAATTTACACATTTTTACGATACATATTTTTGGATTTACTCATCGAAGAGGATCAAAGAGATTCTTGTTGTTGCTTATTTGTTTCTGTCTAGGGGGGCCCCCCGCCTTTCTCTCTTTCTCTCTCTCTCTCTCCAATTTGCCATTGAAATCTTCAAAATTCATCTGATAATTTGATTTTGATGATAATTTTATCGGTTTGTATCGTGTGTCCTCAGTGGTCGTCAAAGCATGTCGTCAAATATGTGTTTCAAAACGACAAAACGGTCGTCGTTGGCAACGCTCGTGTGCACTCGCGCAATGAGCGTGAATAGAAAAGCTTCCGCAAAAAAAAGTTCATAAAAATACGTCAGCGTATTGAGATGATGTAGCGATGTGTGATATTTGCATCCTGATTGAGTTCCATGGTAATGCACTTAAGCCGGTTATTAAATAAATACTGTGTTCGACTTGCGACCGATCACAAAAAATAAGCAGCTTACCAATACTTTGTTGGCCGTTTTCTTCTTCTTCTTCTTCTTTTTTTCTTTGTTTTGCTTTTTGTTGAAATTCATGCGCAGTGTTAACTTATTCTGCGACCTCTCAACTGCGCGCGATCATAAGCACCATAAAACTGACTTAAGTGATACTTTCTCTTATCATGCAACGAAAAACAAGCAAAGCTCATCATATCACACAGCCAGCGAGAAGATGCGGCAGAAAAAAGTGATACAACAACCGAGCCACATATTCACATGTTGTACGTACGCACGCACGCACAAACGAGAATGAAAACAGAATTATTGTTGATGACAATAAAATGTGAGTGTTTAACATCATCTCTTTTTGAATTCGAATACGTTGTCTGCACGAGCGCTTGCCTCACATATTTATCGCTTAAGCGTTCGTATAATTCAGTTCGATGAATTTTCGTGAATTTTTTTTTCATTGTTGTTGATTGTGTTGCACTGTGTGCTGGTTGGTTGGCACCGAAAACCAAAATTTCACTTCTGCACGCTGCACATGAAGATACGTGATGATACCGTAAAATAGTCGAATGATATTGATTCATGTAGTACATGCACCAAGAAATGAACCTTCAGCTAAATTTAAGTCATTTGCCAAATCGTAAATCGTTGCATTGGTTGCAGCAACAGCAGCAACAGTTAAAAGAAATGTCCGAAAAATAAAACGTTTTTATCGCTCGAAATATCGATGATTTGGATGATGTTACTCTGTTTAAAAAATGATCATATTTTCTTTTTTTTTTGGTGGTGGTGTGTGTGTGTGCCGAGAGAGTTCAACTGCAAAGTGTAGATTATATTACGCATTGAACACTGGACGCACAAATAATTCCGTCAAGTATTTCACTGAGTCGAAATGTTTCGAATTTACGTCGTTTGGTTTATTTTTTTTTTTCCTGCCCGTCCTTAGTTCGTGTATCGTCGATTCGTTTTGTTCAACATTCGCACAGATGAACAACAATTCGCTGACATTCATTGTACCTTTTGCACCCAAACGGTACGTAAATTTTAAGTGTAACAAATTTATGTTTAAATAAATATCAGATTCTGTATGTTTGTACATGTCGCATTTTGTTTTGCCCTGGGTAAGTGTGTGTGTGTGTGTGTAGTTTTTTTTTCTGGTTGCACATCTTTTTCACGAGAATAAAATTTGTACGAAGAGAAAATGTGTGCATTTGCAGATATGTAGCGATCCAGATTAATGGATTGATGCTTGAACGGAGCGCAAACCAGCAGCTAACCAAACAACATAAAAGTGTAAAATATTATGAAACTAAAGTATGAATAATGGTCAATACTAAATAATCACTCGAGAGAGCTCTCTGTGCTCAACTACTTGAGCACAGAAAAGGAGAACCGAAAACTCGACAGCAGAAAATACACACAGAGACAGAGAGAGAGAGAGAGAGAGAGAGAGAGAGAGAGAGAGAGAGAGAAGGAGAAAAAGAAAAAGACACACACGAAAGAAATGATGAGCAATTCGAGATAATGTTAATAAACACTTCAAAGCAGTGCGTTTGCTTCTCTCTCTTCATCTTAGCTTCTGCTCGACGAATTTTACCATTTTCAATACACACCGTGCATTATTGTCATATCCATCGCTTGCAAATGTATGTTTTATTCTTCGTGGTTTTGGTTTTCATTTTGCCAAGTATCTGAAAACCGTTTTCATTTCATTCCGTACTCGAATCGATAAGTATTGATAATGAGAGTAATTTGCACGGAACGACAAATGGTCTCTGATTTCGAAATTCAATTCAAAATCCACACTGTCCAGATCGACCGACTCACTGGGTGGCAAACCGACAAAAAAATATTGTTTGCTTATTTATTGGTTTGGTCAATTTATTTAAATCGAAATTGCCGGCTTCGGCTTCAGCGAAATACTTGAATTTGGCCGTTTTTGTCTGTACAGACAGCACAGTGTAGTTTCGTCAATAGAGTTCGGTCGATTGTCGACATATAGTTATCAACAAAAATGGGGCATCCCAATGATAACATCCATTGGATATGTGTGTATGCATGACACATGGCTGCAAGTTTACAACTCAAGCCTACCCATTGAAATTGTACTTACCTCAACATCCCATTTAAACAAGATTCTCGAAGGATATGTGCTCTACACATCTGACATCATTAAAACAGTTTCACTTTTTCCCAGTGAATTTCGAAAAGAAAACCGCTAATTGTTTGTAATTAGTTTGGAATTTAACCTGTGTATTTTATGCGTTCACCGCAGCATTCAATATCGATAAATTGTGCTCAAATTTCATGAGCCATATTTTAGTAGTTGATGCAAGGGTTTTTCCTGTTGGTAATGTACATTATCAGAAATTGAGTACGCAACGCTTACACTTTAGTGGCTTGGATTTCTCGGCAGGCATCAAAATTAGCTGCTCAAAGCAGAATGAAATGGGTAAGGTGAAATCAGTGGAATAAAA